ATATATATATATATATATATATATATATATATATATATATATATAACCAAACTTGCAACGTGGCTCTTGATACCAATTGTTGAGATTTTATTTCAAAAATAGTTTCATAAACTAGTAAAATGGAAAACGGAAGACTTATGATTTTCAAAAATAACATAACAAATTATACCCACCAAGGATCATCTTGCAAGTTATAAAAAGATTAAATCACCAACCAAAGAAGAGATGAAGAAATAACAACGTTTGTAGTTCTTTGGGTCCTCTTAGGAGGCTTGTAAGTTGATAAAGAATGTGGAACTTTAAAGACACCAACAATGACTCGACTTGATGTAGAATGCTAGTTCTTTGTATAAAACTCTTAAGCTCTTAAGCTTTAAGCGCATAACAAAAGTATGAATTAAAGAGAGCAAAATACAAGCATGTAACTTCAAGTGTTTAACAAAAACTAGAGAGAATGAGGGAGGGCATGCAAGTTATAGTTTTCTTCATCAAAAAAATAAAGAGATGAAATCCTTCATAAAGCTAAAACATTACCCCAAGAGTTCCTAACACTTTAAGCACTCCATACCCTAAGGCTTACATGTCTCTCATGCCTCCTAAGCCATGCTTACTTTCCCTTATTATATTCAAAAGACCACGTCTTATTTCATAGAAACTAGCTCATCTTTTTTTTTTATATATAAAAAGAGAAGAGAAGTTTATAAAATACTTACAACTCTTTATAAGATATAAACTTTAACTTTTAGTTAAAAGACAAAAGAGTATTTCTAGTCCAAAATAATGTACATGACTTAATAAATCATATCATATAAGTTTACTGAATATTTATTAAAATCAATTTCTAATAAATAATCAATTGTATCAAGTTGTTAGTGTGACCCATTAGTATCATATGTTAATTAGCAATATCACTTTAATATACTCTTGAGCATACTAGATCTTTCAGCCACGTGATTGAATCTTGGAGGGAGACCATTAATAGCATACATTACCAGGTTTTTTTTTCAGGAACAGTGGATTAATGTTGTCCAGGAGATCAGCAAGAGTTTTGATTTTGGTAAAGTAGGCATCAATGTTGGAGTCACGAGCTTAATGTTGCGCAGTTCATTGTCGACTTCCATGGATTTTGCATCTTTGTTTGTTCTGAAAAGTGCTTCAAGATCCTTCCACATTTTCCTAGCAAGGGATTTTTTTTCTTCAAAACCATATGAAGAAGAGACGGAGAAATTGTATTGTACATACGCATCTTCATAATGTTGTCAGTTCTATCCCATTCAGATTGATCAGAGGTAGTCGGGGTCTTTTCAGTCGGTTCTTCAAGATGAAAATAAGCCCCAAAACCTTTACAGTGAGTTTCGAATAACTCACTCCATGCATCATAGTCTAGTTTGTCTAAATCAAGAATCAGTAGGATTTATGCCTTGATGTTGGTTATGCCATACAACTTTTCAGAAGCTTCAGCTTTGTTCGATGATCCTTCACCCATTGATGATCACGACAAAAAAACAGAGAGCGATAGAGGAGGAGGGGGAATGAGAAGGGTTTTGACGCCAGAAGGGAGAAACGACGACTAGGGTAGAGGAAACTTAGGTTCGCTCTGATACCATGTAACAAACTTTAATTCTCGCATAAAAATCTCTATCTCATTCCAATGATATATATATATATATATATATATATATATATATATATATATATATATATATATATATATATATATATATATAGAGAGAGAGAGAGAGAGAGAGAGAGAGATAGAGAGAGAGAGAGAGAGCCAGGTTCTTTTGAGAACCAAAAGATTTATGAGAACTTGCGAACTCATAATCAACTCATCATTTTTCAACACCAAAACACCAATCTTCTCCAAATGGTGCATCTATCTAGGCTAAAAAAAAAAGATTTGACGATTTTTTTTAGGTTTTTTTGTATGACTATTGAGGAGCACAATCAATAGTTGTACGGACTGCTGATAAGCACAATCAGCAATCATATGGACTGCTGATGAGCGCAATCAGCAATCATATGGACCGTTGATTGCTCATCAGTAGTCCATATGGCTGCTGATTATACACATCCGCAGTCGATATGATTATTGATTGTGTTCATCAGCAGTCCGTACAACTGTTGATTGTGCATACATGCAAATTTCAAAAAAAAATAAAGAAAAATTGTCAAATCTTTTTTTAAGCCTAGATATGGCTTAGACACATCATTTGTTGAAGATTGGTGTTTTTGGTGTTAAAAAATGATGAGTTGATTATGACTTCGCAAGTTCACACACTTTTTTTAGTTCTCACAATAACTCAACTATATATATATATATATATATATATATATATATATATATATAGACACACACATGTATGAGGCCTGATATACAAAACATGGGCCGATTACAATAAATAATAATGCATGGACAATTATAAAATAATATGTAACACTAACAGTAAATAGTTAAAGGAACTAAATTTCCAGATGAGTATGATTGAAACATAAGGACTTGTGTAAATATTGAATATTATAGTTTGATGGTTTAAAAAGCTATGATCGTTACATGTTTATGTAAGCGTTGTTTCTACTTGTTATAAGAGGGTTTGTACAATATCTTATATATGGCGGTGTGACATAGATGTGCACATTCTTTCGAATAATATGCTTGAAAACCTTACATGCAAACTATTGGATTAGGTGTCTAAACCTATAACTGTAATTGGTATAAACTTGAATTGATAGCAGCACACTCCTTTTGGGTTGCCCTCAAACCTAACAATTGGACATGGTGACTTTTAGAGAGAGAGAGAGAGAGATTAATTTAGTATGTGATTAATAAATTGAAATAAATGATTTATTAATGTATTATGAAAATAATATATTAATTAGAAATCATATTATTTAATTAATAATTAATCAGAAATTAATTGAAATTAATTTTGGGATTAACTTGATTAATTTAAAGTGCAATGATTGTTTGATTATTTATTAAAAGTTGAAGAAAGAATGCCCAAGGACCTCATTGGATGAGGTGGACGAAAATCACTTGGTCAAGCCCAAGAGTTTTCGTCGAAGCCCCTTGGATAAGGGGAATGAGCCGCTTGGTCACCAAGCAAAGGATCTAGGGCATATCCCCTTAACCCTAGCTTTGGCACTAAGTTTCCTCAACTATATAAGGAGTCCATAGCCCCTTAATTTCGTCCATGCCTTTCTTCTAAGAGCCTTTGACGAAATCTTGGCTCTCTTCTACTCTCTCTATAGTTTTCATCTTGCTAATTTGGGTGTGATTCCATTAGAGGCACGCCACTTGTGGTGCTTGCTTCCAAGAGATCAACAAAGGAGAATTCTATTTGTTTGCTATAACAACTAAAAGGTATGTAACCCTAAACCTTTTCTTTAGTAATTTCGAAAATTACCTAGGGTTCTTAGGGTTTCTTTTTGATGTTCTTAGTTATGGTTCAATAGAGAAAACATAGATCTTTATTAGGGTTGCATGCACACTTAAGAGTTTAAGTTTATTTGTTTTGCATAAAACTCATCTTAAATGACTTGCGTCAGTTGCAAGGCAATATTGTTGAAATTGTCTGTAATTTAGAGAAAGTATTCCATCCTAGTTATATTGTCATTGTTTTGTCGTTATAAGGACCGATTGTTGTTTGTCATTAATTTGCTACAAATTATTAGCTGTTTGATTCCTTTAAGCTTTGGTTTCATAATCGGTAAAAGGTAAATTGTATCGGATTTTGTGACACAAAAAGTTTCGTCGCGATTTGGAAAAGTCAGCGCTAATGCTCTCGCTAAAACTAGCAACCATATAATAAGTTGTCGATGTGTTTTTCTATCACTAAGCTGAATCACACAAGAACTAACATGTTCCATGTGGAAGATTGTTTTGTGGTAGTTTTTCATCTTCATAATAATCTGTCATGGCCGAATGAAAAATAATAGAACGGAAAATAATTTTTGTATAATTTTTATCAATCCGGTGAAAGGATTAAGGAAAATTGAGTAAACTAACAATTATAAGTGAGTTTTAAAAAAATAGTTTTTCAAATATGATCACTTACTCCCAAATTCCCATTCTAGATTTGATATTCAAATTTTGGAGTTCTTTTATGGTTTTTTTTCCAAAGAAATCTCTCTATTTATTTTCGAAATGTCCAAAAAATCAATTTCGAAGTGTTTAATGTCACTGTTTTTCAATCAAATGTCTGATTTTATGTCTTAATATTGTATATAGTTCACATTCACTATGTTTGTTTAACATTTGTTAAATTTAAGTAAAAATGATTTTTTTTTCTCGAAATTCAGGATTGTTCATTGGATTTCAGACTTGTTCTTGAAATTCGAGAGCTTTTTTTTCGACCTCCGAAATTTCAGTCCGGAATCCAGAATGTTGGTCCGAAATTCCAGATTATCAATCTAAATATATTTTTTGTCAGAAAAAATAATTTTTTCTTAGTTTCCCATTCTAGACAAAACGGTTATTTTTGCAAAAACAACTTTTTTGGTTGTTTTTAAGTATACATTAAATTATGGTTAGATTACTCAATTTTCCTATAATAATGTAGCGTTTGTTGTACATCATGGATTGTAGTTAATAAATATTATTATATTGATATTTTTTTTCCTTTAAATATGTAAACAAGTTGTTCTTATTATTTACGTATTCATATTTTTCTCACAATCGTCCAACTCATATTGTAAAATATGGGATAACTAGATGATAAAAATGACAATTTGATAAAACAAACTTGTACATGTTAACCATACGTGATTATTTAAGTTAGTTTGATTATGAATAATAATTATATAATTGGTGATTATTAAATATAAAGTATTTGACCAATAATGTATTCAACTTATAGTTAAATAATACATGAAATAGAATAATATCTTCCTTAATTCTATGTTAAATTGGCAGATTATAGACTTTATTTATAGCCATGTTGTCTATGTCTATATATAGTGCCACCATTCTTGTTTCCTTCACTCACTACAAACACAAGATGAAGTTGAAGCTTCTAATTCCAACTCTCTTATCCACTCTCATCTCTTCCTTTTATATAACATCTCCCCAACCCCTTAAAACTACCACAACCACCATCATTGTTGCCATCGACGCCATCACCAATACATCGATCCCTTTCGACTCTGATGGTCATGAGGTCCAACCAGGGTTAAAATACCATATAACCCCAATCCAATCAAACGATAGTGGTGGTGGTGGCCTCTCTCTTGCTTCACGAGATGGTATTTGTCCTCCCTTTGTTGTTCAAGAAAACACCCAACTCTCAAACGGTCTCCCTCTTAGATTTGTACCACTTGACACAAAACAAAATTCCATAACCTTGTCGAGTGATCTCAATATTTTGTTTAATGCTGCAACAATATGTGTTCAGTCCACTGTATGGAGGGTGATCAATGGTGGTGGTTTTGGTGGTGGAAAGTACTACGTGAGGAGTGGCGGCGTGGTGGGTCGGCCAGGGGTAGCTACCGTAAGTAATTGGTTTAGGATCGAGAGGGCTGGGGATATTGGATATAAAATAGTGTTTTGTCCAAGTGTTTGTAGTAGTAGTTGTAAAGTTGTGTGTGGAGATGTGGGGATTTTAGAGGAAAATGGAAAGAAATGGCTCGCCCTTGGTGACAAACCACTTGTCTTTATGTTTCAAAAGGCTTAATGCTCGTATTTGGTATTAAAGAATTAATATTCAATACGTACCCAATACTTATGAAATAAATATTTATAACTTTTTAGCATTAAAGTTACATGTTTCTTATAATTTTGTTATATGTGTAATAGTAGTGTATCTCCTAGTCAAAAAATTTGGATTCATATTGAAAAATACAAGTATAGAAGGTGGATGGATTGTCTTCGACTTTCTATCGTTATTGGAGGATATAAATGTGGAAATCCCAATTGCAATAGTTTAAAGAGTTTGGTCACATAGGAATATCATCATCCAAATGACAAAATTCATATATCATTTATATATTAATAAGAATTATATTAGCTTTGTTAACTAGAATCATACATGATATCAATCGTTTATATATTAATAAGCATATATTAGCTTTGATGTGGCTTTTTAACTAGTTATATGAATACTAGTTTTATTTTCTCATTAAATAAGTTCTTCCGTCAATTATCAAAGTAGAGGGTTAGATAATTACTTTGATAATAGCTATAGTAAAATTGATTATAAAAATTAGTCGTTTAAAAAAAACAAATATTGATCACCGAAAGGTAAATCAAAATTACTTATTTAGCCATTTTTTGAACTCAATTGTTTATGAGCTTTAGCAAAGAAAAAAAAATAGAAAAAATATTGTATTTTCGTGTTCTTAAGTTTGAAAGAAATGAAATAGAAATAAACATTTTATGTGTTTCCTAGTTGAAAGGAATAAAAAATAAAGTCTTATTTTCCTTTATTCCAAATCCTTCCATATTGGAAGAAAAATTAGAATAAAAGACTATACTTTAAAACTTCAGGAACATCAAAAAATTTTCCCTCCTAGTTTTATTAGCTTCCTTTCACTTCTCACTTTAAGTGGAACTCGTGAAATAAACCTAGAAATGAAAGCAAGTTAATGGAACTGAGAAGAAATAAAAAAAAAAAAGTTTATGTTCCTCGATTTTTTTAATAAAATGAATTAGAAAAAAAAAATGATAACCTTTCTTCCTAGCTTTTCTTACAATTTGGAAGGATTTTGAGTAAAAAAAAATCTTGGAAATAAAACTTGAATTTATTTATTTATTTTTTTCATTCTGGATAACACATAAAATATCGATTTCTTTTTTTTCATTTCTTTCAAATTCGTAAACATGAAAAATACTCTCTCTCTCTCTCTCTCTCTCTCTCTCTCTCTCTCTCTCTCTCTCTCTCTCTCTCTCTCTCTCTCTCTCTCTCTCTCTCTCTCTCTCTCTCTCAAATTCGGAAACAAAGTGTTGATACTCAATACAAAAGATTTTTTGTTTCCATTTCACAAGATGTGGCTCATTTTTCTTATTTTATTTCTTAATAAATATTAGAATTTGACAAATACTCATATTCATGGTTGGTCCGGTCATAATTTAGGGTCGGGGCCAAAACATGTAAAAAGCCCCTCAATATTAAAACTTATGGTAAAATTATCGTAAAGAATTGGACAAAGTTTATGGTGGGCGAGTTAAATACACAAACCAACACAAACACAACCACTTTAACATTTTATGGTTATAAAGGGTGAGCTCGGTATCGGAACAACAGAATTGATATTGAACCAAAATACTGAACAAAATGGTACAAAAGTAAGAATAAAATAGCGAATTGAAGTATACGGTATGGTATTGGTTCGATTAGGGAAAATATGTTTAGTTTGAATTTAAAAGTGGAAAAAATATTGAAACCGGTACCGAACCAAATGTACCGAAACCTAAACGGCACAAAAATAAAAACTGAATACAAAATACCCAAACAAAGTATAGGGTAGTTTATGGTTCGGTACCATCGGTATTTTTGGTCCCATAGTTATAAAAACTAATTATAGCTTTCGTGTATGAGTTAAACTGGCAAAAAAAATACGTTAAAAGTATTCAGTCATATGTTTGTAGAATAAGAAGCGAGTACTCATACAAAGCTAGAAGAAACTTTCCTTTCTTATGTATAAAATGTTTTTCATATCCTTGTTAATTTTTTCATTTAATTTAAAAAAAAAAAAACAATGTTTATTTCCTTTTGTTGGAAACAAATGATTACTACTGTTAAACTACCACAACTTTGTTTATAAAGTATGGAAATCTTATATATTTCTCTGTAAAATAATATGTAAAATCAATGCGTTAAATGGTTTTGAAACCCATGTCCATATATGGAGATCAAACATTATCGTTATTACAACTTTACAAGTCTTTTATGAAAATATTTCAATATTTTTCTTCGAAGAGATATTAAAAAAAAAAAAAAAAGTTTCGAACAAAATCCCCTTAATTGAAAGTAAAACTTCTTTACCAACTCTTTAACAATTATTTTGTTCATTGTTTCAAATAAAAGTATTTATATATTATAAATGACATATTTGAGTTATGGGCCGGTAGCCTTTATCCGACTTACCTTACCCATTGGCACGGCCCAACTTGCCCAGTAATTAAATATTTTTATTAAATTATCAATATATAAAAAATAGAAAATGTTAGTATTAATCTTTTGAGACGGAATGGGAGAGAAATAGAATCATAGTATTAGCATAGCCGAAGTTCCCGCGGAAATCTGCGGCATATCACTTTTTATGGCTCATCGTTCCCCCACCGGCCACCGGCGATTGCGAAAGCCTTCATCTCTCCCTTCTTGCATTTCATTCGTCTTTTCTTTTCTAGACTCAATTTCCCAGTTGGATAAATCTTAAAATATCGGTACGTACGTATGAATTCCCTTTTAAAATTTCGGTCATTTCGATTTCTTTTGTTCTTTCAAACCCTATATTTTGTAATTAAAAATCGTCATCCGAGTTGGTTTAGGGTTATCGTATTTTTTAATTTCCATTTTTTATGATTCTATGGGGAAGTTGTTCTCATGATTGAAAAATGATATATTTCATTTGGTCAAAATCAAATTGTTTGATGGAATGCTACAAAAGAAGCATCTTGTTCCCAAATTTGAGTTTTAAGATTGTGTTTATATTGAATTATTGGTGCTTGACCATCTATTGTCAACATGATCCATCTAACTCCTTTTAGAATACGTGTATGTGATTGAACATCTGAAAATTGCAGGTTCACATGGCTGCTAATGAACCAAAGACTGTTCCTCCTGATACTGCACCTAAGTCAACCGCCAATATTTCAGAAGTGAGAACCAAACTTGCTTGTTATTTGATTTCCACCTCTAATCAAGTGATTCACAACGTGATCCAGTTAATTCCCTTGAGCATCTGAATATTGCAGGTTCCTACAGCTGCTTCTGAACCAAAGACTCAGAAGGATGTTTCTCCTAATATTGATGCACCCAAGTCAGAAGTGAGAACCTAACTTACTTCAACTATTTTAGTTTGCAAAAAAAAAAAAAAAAAAAAAAGTGTGTTTTACTTTTAACATTTAAATTGTTTTGAGAATTCAATAAATGACAGATTAAACATCTTAAAATTTCAGGCTCCCAAGGCTGGCACTGAACCAAAGACTGAAACAGATGCTCCTCCGGCCAATACACCCAAAGTTTCACAAGTGAAAACCGAGCTTCAAAAAACATCTGTTTTTTTTTTAGATATCGTTTTTCCTAATTATTCCATGATTGACTCGCTAATCTTATATTAACAGATAAAAACGGTGAAAGTGAGTAATATCTCAGTCGCTGTCACCAAAAAAGACATCTGGGAGTTCTTCAACTTTTCCGGTGATATCCATTACATTGAAATGAAAAGGTAACATTTTATTCAAACTCCACTTTCTTAATATATATTATATATAGCCTTATAATTATGACTTCAAAATGGTTCAGTGAAAGTGAAACCACACAACAGGCGTTTGTTACTTTCAAGGAATCACAGGGAGCAGACACAGCAGTTCTGTTGACTGTATGTAAATTTATATCATCGTAATTATTTGTTAATAAAAAATATATACTTTTTGAGAAGATAATATTTTGTAGGGAGCCACAATTGCGGATCTATCAGTGTCGGTAAGCTTAATGGAGAATTACCAGCTGCCACCAGATGCTCCACCTACAGATACAGATAAGAAAGGCGAAGTTGTACAAAAGGCTGAAGAGGTTGTAAGCACGATGCTGGCCAAGGGTTTTGTTTTAGGAAAAGACGCACTAAAAAAAGCTCAGTCGTTTGACGAGAAACATCAGTTCACATCCAACGCCTCTGCTAAAGTTGCTGACCTTGACCGGAAAATGGGTCTAAGTCAAAAATTAAAAGAAGTGAACGAGCGTTACCAAGTGAGTGAAAAAACACAATCAGCCATTGCTGTAGCTGAACAAAAGGCCAACACTCTCATGGCCAACCCTTACGTGTCAAGTGGGGCCGTTTGGTTTTCTGGTGCTTTTGCTGCGATTACAAAGGCAGCTGAAGGTGTGGGGTCCAAGACTAAAGAGAAGGTTGACAAAGAGGAAAAGGAGAGGTCAAACTCAAACATAAACACAGTTAACAATAATGAAAAGGAGACCTCAAGCTCAAACTCAAACACAAACTCAACCTCAACCTCAACCACAGTTAACAATAGTGATGAATCTTTGGTCAAAGGGTCTCCTGTTAACTCAAAGACAGTTAACAATGGTGATAAATCTTCAGTTGTCAAAGACAAATCGTCCAATGAAAAGAACAAGCTTCCAGAACTTTGAAATGTTATTCTACTCAATCTATACAGATTGCATATGACATATCTTCTTGCTATATAGTATGAGTATGTAATATGTTTACAACATGAGGTAATATTAATATCCATACTGTTAAGTGTGAAAAAAATGGATAGTTTTTGACTTTTTAACTATATTAACGTAATGTACTAGTGTGCTTTTGGGAAGCTTGTTCCACTTATTTAAAACCAATACCTTTGTCTTTGTGCTACTTTCAAAACTGGGATAACTTTTATGGATATGTCGTGTTGTGTTATTCCTGTATTAGCATATGTACTTAACCAACCACTCCAGACACTGTCAATATAAAAGTCAAAAATTGGAAATTGTAAGTTTGGTTTGGATGGAAACAATACTATATAATAATAAAGGGCAAATTACAGGAAATAGCAATGTAATTCACTCTTCTTACCAATATAGACAATGTACTTCAATTTTTTTTACCATAATAAGAAAGTACTTACATTTCTTTACACATAATAGCAACATACATTGCTATTCATTGTAAAGAAATGTAAGTATTTTGCTATTATGGGTAAAAGATATAAGTATGCTGCCTATATTTGTAAAAGGAGAAAAGTAAATTGCTATTCACGGTAATTTGCTGTATAATAAAATGGTTTATGGTGTATTTACCTTTATGCAGTTGGATAGATCAGTATCATTTGATCCATTGTGAATCTGAAAATGAAAATCCAGAAAGTTGGATTAATGGATGAAAGTAATTAAGGTAAACAAGAATTAAGTTTTATGATATATACCCATGCAATTTGTTGGTGAGATGAATGTTGGTTGTTTGCTAGACATGCTATGATGACTAAACTGGCTGCAACAGTTGAGGGCCAGAAGCATAACTGTTCATTGCCCAGGAGTGTGAGGACTGCAAGATACTTGGCAGTTTTATCAATATCTTGATCGGCTCTTGCAGCTTTGAGATAATACCTTTCATATGGTGGTGAATAAAAAATTAAGAACAAATAGTAGATTTTGTAGATATAGTTTTTTGATGGATTGATTTGAGAGAATATTGTTTACCATAAGAAATTGTAGATGGTTGGTAAAAAGCATTGGAAGTTGAGGACTTCTTGCACCAGCCATTCCATGGCCACCACTTCGGATCTGCTGTATTCATTGCTTCCTATGTTGAATGACTTTTGTCGAATGCTGCAATTATCAAATTTCAATGATTTTTAAAATGTGATATTGACATATGTTGTTAGCAATTGATTATGGGTGAGGAAAAGGATTAAAAGGATTTTTGACCTGTTGGAGGGCTGGTTTTCTTCAATTCTTGTTGCAAGGGTGAGACAAGCAATGCCAACAATTTGAAGCTCCCTTTCATTTGTGAAGTATCCTTTGCTAAGAAATCGGTCCAAAAGGCTGACACCTAGGAACATGGTTTCCTTCTGGAATTCCTTGTTAGCTGATTGCTGCTCAAAAGTAAGAAATATTAGTTAAAAATAGGAAAAGAATAGGAAGTAGTTGAGTGTGAAAGTGCAATGCCAACAAATTTCTAAGAGCAAGTAAGTAATGTGCATCATAAAGCAGTTCAATCGGACCTCAATTATCCAATGCACCATCTGCAACCTTTGCTGGACAACCAAATGTCCATATTCCTTGGTCCCACAGTATTCATCTGCATAGTTGTGAAGATATACCTGCCTCCTCTCCCTTTGCCTCATCATCTGGTAGCTTTCTTCATGTTCTTCGTCTTCAGGTCTCAACAATTTCTGACAATAATAAATCAAACCACATTATGTCTCCCATTGTAAAAGTAAATGATCGATTAAACAACTTTCAAACCACATGGTACATCTCATTGGAGCAATATAATTATTACGAGAAAGCAGCAATATATGTACTAACAATTAACTAATAATACTATAAATAAAAGTAAGTTTATCACTAAAGAATACAACATCTGAACGGCAATATAAATCTCCAAATAGCACCAAACGTATGTAGTAATTAAAGGAGAAAGTAGCAACGTGGATATACAAAAAAAATTAGGCAACCAAATCGCAGCAGAGGCGTAATTAACTTACAATAGTTGTATTAGGAGGTTCGTTGTTATTGCCTGTTGAAGTGACTTTTGCAGAAACCTCAGATTTGCAGAATTTTTGACGGTAGAGGAGGAACAATTGGAACGTTGGTGACGGAGTTGTATCCCCAAATGATCGTTCAGAAAATTGACTACCGGACATGTCCCATGTCGAAGGAGTATAGTCAGATGAAAATTCTATTTCAGAACTCCCCATATTAGCATCCGTACACTCAGCAGACGAGTGATCAAACTCATCATCTTCGCAGGACAAACTTTCTGAACATGTCAAATCAAAGTCTGCTGAAATCAGCTTTGACTCTCCACAATTCTCCGCTTGAGGATCGTTGACTGTCTTACTTGTGTCTGATTTACTGATGTATGAAGTGATATTTGCGGATGCTGGATCAGGTTGAGATTTTGGACGAGAAGCAACTGAAACGGCGTAGTCCTTTGCCTCTGAATAGGCTGATTGACCTTCGTTGATCGTAGTGTCTGATTGTTTGAAATGCGAATTCATTCCGAATTTTTCTCGAGGAGAAGCTAATCGAGAGGAAACTGATGCATCAATCTCTTCATTTCCTTGCAGCTCATCTCTTCGATCTGTCAACTCTACAGGAAAAATTGGACACTCGGATCGCGTTGTGACTTCTGAATTCTCGATTCCACAGACAGTAATTGAAACGTCATCATCGTTCTCTGCTTTTACATCTTTCAAAACTTCAGGTTCTCTCCGAATTGTGCTCTTCGAGCTTGAGTTAAGCATTTCCACGCACGAAGACGACTCCGACACTTCAACTTCCTTCTCAGCCATAATCTCCATCCGCTTACTATACGACCTCGTAATCCTCCGAAATTCGCTAGCGACGGCGGCATTTCCATCGGCAAAACCTCTCTTCTTCACCGATTTGTTGTTCGTCGATACTACGCTCGAGGAATCGCACGCAAATCCAACATCTCGTGTCAATTTCGAAGAAGAATCAATGATCGAACTATAATTGAACTTTAGAGCAGGGGAAGATCTAAGAATGGGAGAAAACTTAGAACGTTTCCGGCGAGGTAGCTTTGATCTGAACTTCTTCATCGCGGACACTACTAAGCTTGTACTATTGAATCGAGCTGTTGTAATTCAACTTCCAGATTTAAACTTCATGAACATGACTTCATTGAAGTGTTTCTTCACAAAATGTGTGTGAGATGAAAGCGGTTAAGGACGTTGGCTATGGAGATTTTGTGGGGTAGAGAGGGAGACGAGGGGGAGGGTGTGTGCATGTGGTGAAGAAAGGTGGGTGGTTTTTACCATAAAAGTGTCGTGGGCCCCACTCAGCATTACAATTTTCACGCTAAACGATTTTCAGTCTTGCACACACTGCTATAGTGCTATTTGTCGTTCGAGTAAATGACCCAAATCAACCTTTTTTTGTGTGTGTAAAAATAAAATGATTTTGATTTTTTTTTCTTGAAAAATAGATGAATTATGCATGTTATTTCGGATGAAATTAGATGAAAATGCAACTAATAAGATTGTAAGAGGTAAATGTTGAATTGATATCTAAATATACAATTAAAAACATCATAATTCAATGATTGTATATGCCTTTTTTCGTTTATTTTAAAAAAGACACAAACACGTTAAATTTAATGAATTCCGCGATCATTATGCCATATGGCTTGAAATGGAAACACCTTTATTGTTTATAAATTCATAATAGTTCATGTACATAACTAATTGTGAATTTTTTTGTCTATATAGAGTGAATTACACGAATGGTCCCTATGGTATGGGGTAATTTGCATGTTTGGTCCCTAACTTATTTTTTTAACTCGGAAGGTCCTTACAATTTGTTTTTGTTGCGCGTTTGGTCTCTGTCTTACCTAAAAAGACTATTTTGCCCTTGATTTTTTAATTTATTTAAATAAAATGGGGTATGTAAGGTAAGGTAAAGTGAGGTGGAAGTGAGGTTAGGGGTGTGTTTATTTAAATAAATTAAAAAATCAAAGGCAAAATAGTTTTTTTAGGTAAGACAGGGACCAAGCGTGCAACAAAAACAAACAGTAGGGACCTTCCGAGTTAAAAAAAAATAAGTTAGAGACCAAACTTGCAAATTACCACAAACCATAGGAACCATTCGTGTAATTTACTCTAACCTATATATCATTATCATTTCATTTTATTATAAATCTTTTAATAAAAGCCATCTACTTATATTAGTTGATTGGTTCAAAATAAACTAACATCTTAAACCATATTCCTTTGAAACTTTTAAGTCTCTTCAACTTTCAAATAATTAAATACACATTAATTTACTTTAATACTAAAATTCTTTAAGTTACAACTATTTAATCACTACACCTTAATAGTTTTTAACTTGTATTAATGATTGGTTATCATGACACTACAACTCAATAGTTTTTTTTTAACTTATGGTATTTAATTGTTACTTATAACACCCAAAAAAAATTAATATAAGAGTTATATATAATTCACATATTTAGATTAGATTCTAACTTGGAGAATAAGATGGAAAACCAACAAAGTAATGAACAAAAAGGATGTTGTTGGACACAATTACTTCACTTCAATGTTTTGATCATATCCGCCTATTCGATGCTTTGATTGACATGAATCGAGTTGTGGTGGTAAGAAGACAAAATTATCTATAACTTTCATGTTTTTGGTTTTCATGAATTGTGTTTTTATTGTAGCAAAAATCATTGTTCAAGTTGAACTGAAACATTTATAGAATCTGAAATTGACAATGTAGAATCTCTTATCATTTCAACCTACACTTAAACCTCATGGAATCCTTTACTCTATGCAAAAAAAACATATATCTCAGCATTGGCATGCAACATAACATGAAATTTCAACTTGGAAGAAAGAAAAAGCGTTGTCATGTAAAATTTATACGAATCACAAATGCAAAGGCTAAAGTCAAGGTTCTATAATGATCTCTTCAGTGGCTACGTGTTAAATTTCTTACTTTCTGATGACTTTAAAAGATTATATATTTGTTTTTTAAAATCCATATTGACACAAAAACAACACCATGACAAGGTTTATTTTACCTTCTGATGGAAGCTTGGATCTCATAACGCATTATTATGCCAGTTGGCTTAGTTGCCCCACCACCAGGCGATCATGCACAATTTATTTTCATTAGCCTTAGTTGTACACCAATCTCATGGAGAATAAAGAGACAAAGTGTGGTTTCTCGGTTCTCTGTTGAAGTTGAGTACATGGAAATGGGAAGGGAACTCGCCTATGAAGCGTGAAACCGTTGATGTAGGGTAGAATTCGGGAGTTCGGAACTCAAGAGGCCTTTTCAGAAGTTAGTGGCACAGAAATCGAGAGGGAGTGAGATGTGTGTTGAGGTGTGAGAAAGGATTAGCCTGAGCTTGCTACTTATAAGAAGTTTTTGGGGTGCACGATGCGCAGTGCACGTCGCGTAGTGTGTGTGAACCACCTAGGTGTTGACACATGTCCTTTTCTCACAGTGTCACGTCATTCGTATCCTGCCGAATCGGGGTGTCAGAATGCACGTCGCGCGCTGCGTGCGGGTGCACGCGGGGTTATTTTTATAAACTTTGAAAATTCGTAACACTTGCATACGAGCTATGTTTTCAACGACTCTTTTATATATGTGTAGGTCTTGATGTACACTACAACTTTCCTTTTGGTCGTTTTGGCTAATTCTAACTTTCGTTTTTTCGACTAGTTTTTATTACCGTTATGATTTTATAAAATCATAACTCTCACATACAGTTTCTGTTTTAGGCATTTTTTGTTTCATAATTCATACTTTGAGTAGTACTACGATTGTTCTCTTGGTGACACTTTACAAAAGCCAACAATTTTTCTTGTAGTTTTCGTCGTTGTAAATTCTTACGTACGGTGGATAATTATTTACTACTAAAGTCATGTCACACCCATACTGAGTAAGATCTTTGCGAAATTTATATTTCTGAGATCGCGGTTGTTTATATTATCAAAAAATGTTAACCTGCTCTCGAGTGACGCGACTTTTCGTACGCTTATTTTTGAGCCTAAATGTTGACGTAATTAGAGACAAAAATTTGGACATATTGATATATATTGGTTGATTACAATATTGTCCTTATTACATTTTCATGTTTTATCGTTAAATATTAACGACGGTCGATGACGTATTTTTCAGGTTGTCACAATAATGTATATAGGTTTCATTTCACTTAGCTTCTACATATTTAGATATTTGTTAAACAATGATCAGGTAGATTGAATGTGGATGAGGAGTTAAACACCAAATCAAACTCATATAAACCCAAAATAAACTTAGATGAACGCGAAATCAAATTTAAACCCAAATGGACATAAATCGAACCCAATGTTAATCTATGAAGTGTTGACATTATGTAATAAGACCTTATTATTTCAATTTTCTTTTCCTTTTCTATCACTTGTGTTCCCTTTCACCTTATGTTGAGATTTTCTTAGCTTTGTTCGTACATCATTTAATGGTTTAATTTAGCTTATATATAAAATCTTGCATGAGTCGCATATGGATTTCCTATGAATGGAAGTCTATATCTATGATTCCCTTTGTTTCCATAATATTGGATGGTGCAAGCTTTTGATCATTTCGGTTCAGTAACATTTAATAATTTGTAGTAGTTATTTGTCAATTGTCAAATATCAATTTCTCTTGGAAAGAGAGTTTGGACGAATGAATTACTATTGTCTTTCAAACTAATTATTGAATTGAATTTCTTACTTAATAGATTTTTCAGACATAACGTAAATTTATTAGTTATTCTCATCGACACGGTTCGTTTAGTAAACAAAACAAAATTTTCTTCATTCGACTATTGATCCGACAGTTTCGTACACCATTATATACTTTACATACATCATTTAATATATATTATTTTATATGAAAAAAACCCTAAGTCGTTTTAGTAAAGGGATGCATTTTCAATATGCTTGTTTCAACTTTTAAAGAACAAAACCATGTTTAGAATGATAATTAACTCAAAAAATATACCTTTACTCTTCCAAAATAAATTTATTTCAAACAAGTAGTTCTTGTATATTTTTCAAAACCTAATAATTTGGTAAAAGTACTGAAAAATTTCAAATTTACCAAACAGTCCTTAAAAATTAAAATAAACCACTGGACATGGTCCTTCCATTTATGCTCGCACCACCATGGTTTTGGCTTCAGTTCGTCGTATACATCGCCCACCGTGCTATCTATCGACACACCTACCACCATCCGCCGGCTTTCAAATCGATCCGATTTTCCGGTAGTCACGGCCATTCCTCTCTCCGGAAGTAGATCACCATTAGAATCGCGCATAACATAGTAAGATTTAATATGATTCGTGTACTTTCCTTTAGTTATCTGATAGTTAACTATGTGAAATTATGAATTATCGGTGTTGGCATTGAGTCATGTCATAGTTTGCGATCTTAATTTATAATTAGAGTCGATCCAAATAGAATTATTGCTGATTATTTGAAATTTAGGGTTTCCATTTCAATTTCAAAGCATACGTGTATTGCAAGATATATGTTACAAATATATGGTTCTTCCAGTGATTTGTTTGTTTGTTGGATTAAAGGTTAATGATAAGGAAGTTATAGTATGGGTTTGTCATCTGCTGCTATTACTACTCCCAGTGAAGCATTGAAATTTTGCATATTTGATTTGAGAAGGGGACAACATGAAGGCGAGGAACTGGAGAAGATTTTGTTCTTCTTCCCGGCTGATTTGCCCTTTCCAACTCAACTTTCTGTCATTGGGCTCAGTGAAGGACTCATCACTTTCACAAGGTCAGCGGCCACTTATTCATAGTAGTCTACATAATTGGAATCTCATGGTTGCTCATTGATTTATGAACGGGATTTTGCAGAATCTTTTCTCCTGAAGCAGCTTGTGAGGTTATAGAAGCAGAACTACATTCCCATGTCTTCTTTGAGGCAGAGCCAGATATTTGGATGGTAATGGTAAGTGTTTGTTTCTTTTAGAACATCATTAAACATATTCAACCTGTTTGTATACTTTCATTGATCATTTGTCATGTTGTAGGTGGTTGCAAAAAACAAAGAAACAGAAGCCATATGGAGAATCGAAGCACTACGCAGTGTTCTTAAAGAAATCCACTCTCTTTTCATTATGTTTCATGGTTCTATAAGAGTGTTACTTGATAAAGAACCTGGTGGAGGATTAACTCGTAGTCATTTGTTCACCTTCATCATGGATTACCTTAATGGTAACCCCTTTCCTACATCATATACAACATAATTTCCATCTTCTCTTTTTTAAAATCTTTATTGGAGATCACTTATTGTCAGCATATCAAAAGCGGTCTCCATTGGAGCTGTGTTGCTGTGGTAATCCATGCTGAAGTTTCTGTTCCAAAAATTTCCAATGAATTTGTGCTACTGGAGAAATGCTGAAGTTTCCATTCCTCTCTCTCTCTCTCTTATTATATATGCAGATTTTCTCATGGGAAACAAATTCGTTTTACCTAATTTCCGTGATTCTTTAAAGCAACGTGGAACTGTTCAGATGTTAACTGTTGGACGTGAGGCTGCTATTGAAGTACAGGTGAGATTACTAGATTATAATATCATGATTCAACGATTCATGCATCTTTTTTAGTATTCTTACAAATAATTAAATAAATAAATAAACTTTCTTGTGTAGTCTCTTGTGGGAGCATTGGATTCATGCATGGGAAACACTTCAGGCTACTCAGTTATCTTGTTTCAGGATCTTTTGGTCTCTACAACACTAACCCCTGTATGTTTCTAAACTTCCTTTCTTTTTCTACATTTATTGGGACCTTAACCTTATAGTATGATATGATTTTGGAATCTTGATTAAATCATCCATGTTGATTTGTTTCAGGATGACACTACTAATCTGTTTTCATACGCCACCTCAAGGTTGACCCCACGTGTTCTATCTTCTGGAAGAAGTAGTACATGGTCTTACCTCCGCAAAGGGAATGCTGAGCTGGCGTCCAGGTCAGCAAGTATCGGGTCAGGTTTAGATGGGTTTCGGATTGTGAGGCCATTACAACATGGGAAATGGTCAAAAGGGAAAGATGGGTTTCTTGTTACTGATATTTGGGGGGTAGAAGTTGGTAATTTGGTACCTACAACCCCAACATTATGGCTTCAACAAACAGAGCATAAAATGTACTTATGTGCTTATCAACATAAAAGCCTTACAATAATCTTACTCATACCTGTTACCTCTATGCTTAATGGAGAAGAAGGGATCTCCATGTTGAAGCAACAACTTCTTGAAAATGTCTGTTTTCTTTCTTTTTCCTATTTTACCCTCCCTCATGTTTTTCTTCTTCCTGAATGAATATTCAATTTTATATATTTTTTAATCTGGCAGGCGTCTGCAAAGATTGTTAAAGTTGAGGAGAAGCTTGCAAAGGGATGGGGTGGTGAGAATGCTTATCATGTGAAAGGGTATCGTTATTTGCTAGTAGATGGTGATAGGAATATTTCGAGGGCATCCCCACCTGGAAAAGTAACAACCCTAACAAAGGTCAGAATGGTCAATTCCCACAAAATATTTTTTCATTCAGAAACATACTACTTTCATTCTTTACATCTTCCCATTTTCTAACAAGGAATGGAATCTGTCAAAGGAATTGTAGTCTGATTGGCAGAAAAATAGAACAGAATTCAATAATAAAAAATGAATAATATTTTTAATTTCAGTTATAATTAAAAAAAAAGTTATTGACCAATTTCAATATAGATAAGGAGTGTATTTTTGTCTTTTATAAAAAAAGATGTATCAATTGAATTCCTTCCACCCGTGGTGAAAGACATTAAGTGGATTCCATCCGAATGACAACCAATGGAATCTCGAATTCCAATTCCGTTGGATTTTTCCGGAATCCACGAATCCCTAGGAATGGTGAACCGTGAACTTCTAGGGTATTTTGGTCTTATACTAAAAAAAAGATGAATAGAATTGAATTCTTTCCATCTCCACCCGTAGGAATTATAAAATCCATCAAGCATGGAATTTGATGGAATCCGATAGAATTGAATTTTATCCATTTAACACGCCTTGGAATGGAATCTCGAATTCCAATTCCGTGGAATCAACGAACCAATATGTAAACACAATGTAGTGGTGAAGAAGCATGTTGTAAAGGCTAAAAGCTGAAATTAAAATTTATTATTACAGGAATCATTACTTGCTATAAATAAGGTTAGAGAAGATGTTGATTTGGAGAAAAGCAGAGGAAATGGGAATAATGATGATAAGGATTTAGAAATATGCATCAGAGCAAAAAACAATGCATGGGTGATTGCTAGGTCTACAAGAGGAAAGGAACTTTATATTGTTCTTGAAAAAGCCAATGAAACTCTTCTCTATGCCTCTGAAGCCATTGAGAAGTTCAGTGACAGGTACAATACAACCTTTTTCAATCTTTTAATTTTCTTTTTATCTGTATTAATTACTTATAACTAATAATAACATATTAAATATAAATAATACAAAGTAAAAATATCGACAAACATAAACATAAAAATTATAAATCCACTTAAATTAATAATGTAATATGTATGCAAATTTTAGCTAAAACTTTAGTCAAAACCCGTATTTTTCTATTGTACTTTTTTCATCAAGTAATAATTTTAAATGATCGGGTAATTGAAAAATTAACAATAATCACAAATGTTTTGCCAAAATAGTTTTAAATGTATTTTAGAACATGCATTTTGAATTATAGGTGAATATAAAAGACATGGATTAGAAAATAGTTAATATTTTTAATAAGATATAAGTTATATTTATATATTTATATGTTTATATATTTATTATTATAAAAGGTTATAAAAGTTAAAACAGAATGAGAAAGAGGAAATAATAAGTACATGAACGCACAACTCCTTCCTTCAAACATCCTTGAGTTTGTGGCTTTTTTATTTCAGTCAAGTTTTCTTAAAACGAGGGCATTATTGTCATTTTATCTCAAGAAGCTATAAGTCATTTTTAAAAACTCAGATAAGAATAACTTTTCAAAAACTTCTTATTAGCAGTGGCAAAAAGCCGATTTGAAAAGTCATTTCAAAAGGCTAAAAGCTAATAAGCCCTTTTCAAAGCTCAATCCCAAACACCCCTTGAATCCCAAATTTCCCTTTTTAATACATATTCAAAAGACCAAAATGCCCTTCCAGCACTTTTTCCCATTCTTTTCCTATTTAATTAAAATATGATTTTGATCACAAATAGCAATGTACTTTGACTTTTTTTTTTATGAAGTCCCCAAAGTCAACACCTAAAGCAACAATCTTGAATATTTATATAATCTTTAATTTAATCAGTATATCTATTTTGTTAAAAACTTATCATGTATGTAGGTACTGCAATGGAGCCTTTTCATTGGATTAGTAATCACTGGAATGAATGGTAGATGATGTTATATGTATACTGTAAAAAAATAGCATAGCAAGTTAAACCCAAAATTCATAGAATTGTTGATTGTTATGGTGATGAACATGGAAATGTGGTTTGCTGGTTAGTTGTTATAAGCGTTACATAGATGGTGCTAAAAATCTTTATAAAAATAAAGTTGAGTTCTTATGTACTCAAACTTGACTCAGTTTTATATTTCGAGTTCATTGTTCTGAAAATGTATAAAACTCTATATTCACAATAACTTAACAGAGCAAAGTGTGAACTATAATGTGCTAAAAATCTCGATTTTTTTCCCCAGTTATCAGAAGATTAGTTGTAAACCTAAAATTGAAAAAATAAGCGGATTTATTTGTCTAAAAAAAGTTTAGATTTAAATAGAAAAAAATCAGTAAATATAAGTGTTTTATAATTAACCCGAAAATAAAACTAAGAGTATGAGCGTGTTTGGCATTTTGGGTATGGCGCTTTTTTTTTTACGCGTAAAGGATGAAGTGGCACACATGTTCACGGGTGAAAACCGCCCCCCTCACCCGTAAATGTTGTGTGGATCGATGCGTGTTATGCTTTCTTACGCCCAATAGAAATTGATATATGCAAACGGTCAAAAATTGACCCGTTAACAATGTAAAAAACAAAAAATTATTTTTTAAACTTTAAACTAAACCATGTAAATACCAACATTTTTATACTATTTCACACCACAAAACCATTCAAATATCTTTCTATTCTCTCATTTTTTTTTTCTCAAAGTATGGAGTAAAATCAAAATACCCCAACCACTCCAAACTTCCCGACAACCCCAAACACTCCAAATGATCAATATCAAAGTTACATGCAAATGTTAACATCCTCAATCCAACAACAACCTTTATTTACCAACATTTCATATCAACCAAACTACTTCCAACAACAAAGACCACAACAATTCAGTCAACCTCACTTCCAAGCTTTTCAACAATTTCAACATCAACAATTCCAAACACAACCATCTCAAGTCCCCTTTATCTCAATCCCCACCTATAAACTTGGACAATGACGACGACCACCTGGTCAAAGAAACACAACCATCTAGAAGAAGGCAACCAAAAAGAAAAGCTACAAAAAAAAGAGGAACGACTTGAAACGAAGATGAGGAGGAAGCTTTAGCTAAAACTTGGATTTTAATATCGTGTGGCTGGAGGACGGGCAATGCGCAGCCGGGAAACAGTTTTTGGCTTCGTGTTTTAGATCACTTTCATTCGCTTTTGGGAAGGCAAACAGGTCGAACGTACGACTCGGTCAATAGAAAATGGCGTTAACTACGAGCGGTTTGCACCAAGTTTAACGATATATTTGAAAATCTGAAAAATATGCATAAAAGTGGTAGCAACGATTTCAATATTTTATCAACTGCTTGCCAACAATACAAGGTCACCAACGGCGGTAAAGTATTGGACATGTGCTATAGTTAGATTTTGAATTAAGTTTTTTGTTTAAAATAAAAACTAAAAGCTAATACCATTGAATGAAACTTTTCATTTTTTTTTTAGTTTTTTCTTAAAAGCTAAAAGCTTCGTACCGAACATGTCTTATATATCTTTTTATTGTATTACTTTGATAATTTGTCATGTTTACTTTTTAAATAATAATTGATATTAGTAAATTATATTATATTTTGAAAAAATAGAAATAGATACGTAAACAAATGATAGACATGACGTGTACAAGCGTATACCCGTCACACGCTATCAAACATTTAACGTACAATCAACTATACATACATTTAGAAGGGACAATGAAATATTTTGAAACTAATTTGGCTTACTTTACATTTCCTATTAGGAAAATTCTACAAAATTTACAAAGTTTTTGTCGCAATTCGGACAAACACTTTGTATTTCAATTTATTTCAATGTCGATCATTTATTGGTCACTTGGTTACATGATGTTGTGGCAATATTTGATGTCGTGACAGTTGACATTGTGTGTTGATGTGATACTCTTTGGTGACATCATATTCTGGATGTCAAAATTATAATAATAAAAAAAAAACCTAAAATATAGTAACTTTTGTGATAGTCATAAAAAATACAGTGACTTTTGTGAAATTTATCCTAAAATAAAGTAGAAATCAATACAAACATGTTTGCCAATCTATGTCAACTAACGGGTTAGATACAATTATTTGTTCTTTCTTTGTATCTAATTAGAATAAGAATAATATTACCTTTAATTGAACTATTTATAATTTTTTTCTCATATTCAAACGCTAATGACTATGTTAAAAAATCTTTAATTGAACTCTTTATAATTTTTTTCTCATGTTCAAACGCTAATGACTATATTAAAAAATTTTAAAACTAAAGGTGGATATCTTTATATGCCATGTGGTATTTACTCCCAAGTAATGTCTTGTATCCTTATATCCTTATATTTAAATCCCAAGAATAAAGTTGTACAGATTTCCCAATGGCCAATGTCTTATGCCTATAATTAAGTTTATGGTTATTATACTAATATGAAACGTTATCAATATAGCCTTCTAAATCTAACTATAGCACATGCCTAATCTTTTTATATAGCAATTTTTGCGATCCTGATTACATAAAAGTTATAATATTAACACAAATAGTTTAATATAAGGAAGGATTAACATGTTGCACACCTCATCTCATTATCATAATAGAGGATGACTTCATTATGTCGACATAACTGATAGGTAACTAAATAGTTAAATATATTGTCATTTTATCTCAAGAAGCTATAAGTCTTTTTTAAAAAGTGAGATAGGAATAACTTTTTAAAAACTCATTATTAGCTGTAGCAAAAATCAGTTTTAAAAGTCATTTTGTAATTGTCCAACACTCATTTGGGCTTTTATAGTGGTGATAAAATTCTAAAAGTTAATAAGTCTTTTCAAAGCTCAATCCCAATTCCCAAACACCTTGAATTCCAAATTTCCCTTTTTAATACAATAATCAAAAGACCAAAATTCGCTTCCATCACTTTTTGTCATTCTTTTCCTATTCATTTAAAATTCCCATTAAATATGATTTTTATCACAAATAGCAACGTACTTTGACTTTTCTATTTACTTATGTTTTTTAGGTTGATTTGAAGTCACAAAAATCCTTGAGATTTTGTTAATTACTTTATTATTAATATTTTTATCATGTATGTAGGTACTGCAATGGAGCCTTTTCATTGGATTAAGAATCATTGGAATCAATGGTAGATTATGTTATCTCAAATTTCGAGAAATAACCAAAAATGAGGAGGGTTCTGAAGAAAATGATAATGTAAATTAGGATTTTGGAAAATGACCACATGTTCCGCAGAGGGAGTTCTGCAGAACCATAAACATCTCTGCGGAACCATGAACACCTCTGCGGATCTTGGTTTTTTTAATTTTTTTTCGTTTTATTATTATTATTATTATTATTTTGTTTCCCTTTATTAATATTATTTTTTTTAATCACATAAGGTATTATGTGATTATTATGTAAAAAAAAAATTGTTTTCGTTTTTCTTTTTTCTTATTTAATTACTTGTTTAAAAAAGTTATGTGTTTAACAAAAATTATACAAATATTCCATGTTTTTTATAAAATTACACACACCGGTATTCTGAATAATAAACATACTTTAAGTAGGTTACAAAACATACTTTAAAAAACATAAACATACAACCTTCATAATAAACATATTTTGAAATAAACTTCATTCATTCAAATCGAACCATGAAAACTTTGATTTGTTTTCGTATTCCATCCATGGGTTTTCTGTTGCTTGTGTCCCTAGGTTTACTGTCGCTTACGTCCATTGGTTATCTCGTTCTTGCTGCCATTGGTACTCGGTGCAACCCTGCCATTGGTTCTGTGGCTCTTCATGTGGTTGGTATTCGGTCCCTTGCGTCCATTGGTTATGTGGCTCCTTGTCACACCCCCAAACCAAGGATGGCGGAAACGTCCGGGGGGTGGCGGACTTCATGTATAGTATCATAACAACGAGTATAATAGTGACCAAAGCAAATACAACCATCATAATATAATTGAAAAGTTTACACCATAGTATGAGTTTACATATTCCAAAATCAATTACACTATGATGACAAAATAAACTGTTTGACGCCTTAGCGTCCCATCCTCAAAAGTTGCGGTTTACTTGTTTTACTGATTTCCTGAGAATACAAGTAGTTTTGAAAAAGTGTCAACAATTAAGTTGGTGAGTTCATAAGCTTTTGGATGTAGAGTTTGAAAGCCTTTGTTTGTAATTGTAATGTATGCTTCAGAAAATCCAATGTTTCGTTATAAAATGTTTGTAGTCTTAAATCCCAAGATTGTGTGTGTTTTGTACTTGTAACGTGTGACAACCGTCAAATTTCGGTCAAGTCAAAGTCAAACAAAGTCAACAAGTCAAACCGGTCAACTCCAATAACCCTTGTATGTTAGGGTTTACGTTATGTAATCACTATACAATTCGCTATTTTAATGAGAAATCATCATTTGGAAAGTTCATGTGTTTGATTTTCCTTAGCCTTAACAGTGCTAAACAACGAACCAAAACGATAAAACATTATTGCACACTCATTGGGAGTGTGTACGACACTAAAACACGGTTTAACGGGGTTTACGAACCTTGCGTTATGAAGCCGGACACTCAAATTAATCACAAACGAAACCTCTCTAAATCGTTTTCACTCTATCTCTTTCTATTTGAAATCTCTCCCAAATTTCTCCCAAATCTCTCTCAAAAGTTCCCATAACTTTTTGGAATCATTGGGTCATCCCGACCCTTCACCGGGTCAAAAACCACTTGAAACGGGGTAAAAACGGGTAAAATAGCCTTAAGGACCCAAAACGGAAACTTCAGGACCGAAGCCTCTCATCCGAGGCCTCGGATCCGAAGCCTCTCATCAGGACCGAAGCTGAAGCCTCTCAGGAGACCGAATCCGAAGCCATCAGACAGCAGCCTCGCATGCGAGGGTCCGAAGTCTTGGCCCCCATCCGAGAGGTCTCGCAGACGGCCCCTTTTTACCGGTTTTTCGACTACGACTTCGTTTTAACTCCGTTTTTCATTATTTTAACGTGGGATTTTCACCCAAAACTTTATTTTATAAACTAAGGCCCCAAAATATATAAATCTCCAGGGTTTTTATAAAAATATATTAAAAGAATTAGTGGTTGAACTAATTAT